TAATGCCTGACAAAAGAAAATAACAAAGAGCAGCAGCCAGCAGGTACATCAGGAAAACACCACAGAATGTGGTGTTTAAGCTCTGCTTCTTAAGTGGATGAGACAGACAATTATTTACTACATTTTGAGAGCACCTGGCACTCTGTCTCTTGGCCATCAGGACAACTCAAGGGAAAGGGTGTTTATCACAGTGCCCTGTTAAGTGGATTTGGCTACAACAGAAATAAACAAAACAGCCTCTGGGAAAGTTTCAGGGCTTTCAAACTGGTGAGTGCTCTGGTGTTGCAGACAGCTTGGGTCATTTATTAGGAGCCAAAGAGTCAGCACAAATGACAATGTGCACTTTTGTGTTTGTTGGTTTCTTCCTTCTAATTTTGTTTCCTTGTAAAGAAGGGGGATTTCATACAGCTGTAATAACCCCATCACTTCAAAATAATCTCCAGTCTGCCACTTTAACACATCCAACGTCTTCCAAATTTTTTTCAAATTCTTTCCTTTGGTCTGATCCTCATAAGGAGCCTCTCCTTTGCTGCTCTGCTTCTCTTATGTGACACAAAGGAGACAATTCTGATTTCCTGTGTGCTAAACCATTTAAACTTTTACTAACCACTGCAATACGTGCTGCCTGCTCTTCAGGAGAGCTGTGTTGGTAGATGATCTAAAATTGATGGATTGCATGCTACAGATTCTGGGATGTAATCATCTTACAATCTTGCATCTTGCTCGCAAATGTTGCAAGATTTGCTTGTTGGCTCTTTTCTGCAACCAGATGTTGAATTCCTAAGCCACAGAATGGGCCTCCCTTTACTTCTAGCCAAATGTCACTTCTTCATTTCAAATGAATAATGTCAAATCATTTCTGACTTCAGCACGTTACCCAATTTTCCAGGCCCAGAAAGTTCAAGAAATGCAAGATGGAAATCCAAGACTTTGTTTTTAGGACTGGAAGCTTTGGCAGATATGAATATCAGTACTATAAAAAGGGAAAATTGTCAGCACTTTGATGGCCTAATATGAGGCAAAAAGGAGTTTTCATTCCCAGCAATTCCTATTTTTTTAATGTAAAATTTATTTGAATCTTCAGTTTTTACATTTTGAAATAAAAAGTTTGCTTCTATCTGCTTCAGAAGGCCAAGAACAATATGTAATTCCTTTAATTATGTCATGAGAATCTCCCTGCTCAAACTTGGTCCAGCCAGAGCAGGTTGTTCAGGGCTGGTTCAGTCAAGTTTGGAGCATCTCTTCCAACAGGTTAACAACATTCAGCTTTCAGCAGTTGTGATAGCAGAGCAAAGCTGGCATGGGAGAGGTGAAAGGGAGGAAATCATGTAGGGGAAATCATACCTTGCCAGAACCCTGATGTGTGTTGTGGGGCCAGCATGACAGAGTGTGGAGAGCACAAGGATGGGATTGCAAATGTGAGGAACTCCTGGGTTCCCGGCTCCTGATGGGAAAGGATGAATTAATAAATCTGCATTCAAGTGTTAAGACAAGACAGGTGTTACAAAATAAAATGATCTCTAAGCAGATTTAAGATGATCTCTAAGCAGATATTTAAAGCTTTCCACCAGATAGAAGCAAAATCTCCACAATTCTGAACTGACTAGGAATTCCACCAAAAGAAGTTTTTATTGAGGAGGTTGAGAAAGTATCATGGGTGATGTTTCATTTGATTTTGATTTCTTTTGTTTCCCACTGTATGAATAATTAAATGAAAATAATTTTGAACAGGGAAAGAGAAAAGGAAACTCCTCTTCCCTGTATTTGTAGGTAAATAACAACAATTTCAAACTGGAATATAACAGAAAAATATTTATTACTGCAAAATGGATTTCTGTTAATGATTCATATTACTGTCGATGAATATGTGAGCAATTGTATTTTAGCCTCTCCTCTTGAGAGACAATGGGATATGTTTACTGGAGTGAAATATGTTAAATACTCAACCTTGTCAGGGCTGTTATGCCTAAAGCCTCCACAGGCCAGGAAGGCTTCTTACCCCTTTCCCTATATTTATTTAAATCCTCTGATGAGAGGACTGCATTCTTATAAATTTTAGTGGCCTAAACTGCTTTTTCTTCTTTCTTATTGTAATAAGATGATGAAGAAAAGAAATATGACTGCAAATGTCTGGTGCACTAAAAATTCTGCATACATAACTTTACATACAAATGCTTCAGAACTAGTTATCCCCACTATGAAATACTAGCTTCTACTTTGATAATTCATGAGATTTTGCATGTTGGCAGCCAAAGCTTCCCACAGTTTCTCTAGAGTTTTTTGCATTAAATCGCTGAAGATTAACAAAGTGGAACACAATGGCTTGAATGACATATTGAGTTCTTGAATTGCAGCTCAGACTGCTCAGAGTGGTTATCTAAGGTGCTGCCTGATTATACATTGAAGCAATAAAACTTTGGAAGATTCTGTGGGGGCTCTGCTTCAGCAAAGTCCTTGGTCTTATGTTTGGCTGTAGATAAGGGAACTTACTGCTTGTGATGTATGTAATAATGCAGTTTACACTTTCCTAGAAACACTTTAAAAACAGCTCCCAAGTCACTTTGAAGAAAGGCAATTCCAAAACCCAGTTTGTGGCAAACACATTGCATTGTTGCAGCAGAAACTTACAAAAAAAATCCTTGTGGACCTCCTGGTGGTTCATCTGAACCTCTTTCTAACATTTCTTCTCACCTTTTCCCATCTATGAAAAATTAAAATGTTGCATTAAAAATAGGAACTTACAAAGCAAACAAAAGTTACAAAGTCAAATCCACCTTAAGGGGAAAAGAGAAACAAAACCAAAACTCCAAGCCTGGGACAAAACGTTGCTTTTCTGTATCACAGACTCATTATGGAGGTAGCTTTTACTTAACCTCTTGGTTCTCACATCACTCATGTTAATGGCCAAGTTTCTGATACCGGTGGCATTTATCAATTGATCATCTGTGACTCCATGAGTCACTGTCTCCAGGCCTGACATAAACCACTCAGACTCTGTGTTAGGGTCACCTGGACTTTGTCACTATTTAACAATTGAAAAGGAGCAGTATTTTCTTAAAGCACAGGCCAGACCCTCCAGTGATGTAAAGGAGAACAAGAGAAGCAAAGTCAACAGAGCACTGATGTTTTCCTAAGGCTCCAAGGCAGTTGAACAAATGCTGAAGCTCTGTTTTCCCTCTGCACTTTCTTTTCCTTGCTCATTTGTTCCTTTGCCCACTTGGGTTAAATCAAATGTACCCAGGTGCAGGCAGTACTTGTAAAAATAGCTGTTGGTTTATTGCATCCCAATACCAGGATGCACTGGTGGGTTTCAGATGAAAAATTTGGGGCTGTTCATCTTCTGCTCTGCCTCTAGTGTACTTCTAGAAACACTGACAAGATTATTTGGTTTTCTGTTTTTAAAGGAAAAGTTTTCTGAATGCACAAGGTTACCTTGGTGCTATTTTGCTGAGTGCAGAAAGGTAATGTAGGCTAGCACCTAGGAAGGAAGGGTTTTATTTACTCTGCTTTTAAATATAGCATTGCATTTTGGCCATCAAATGTGATAACTCTGAGTAGAAGATCTGATTTCTCAGGAGGCAGACCATTCACTTTAGTTCCATGGCTAGTTTTTACCCATGCCTGCATCTGTGCAGAAATTCTGTGGTAAGAGAGAGAAATGAAAGGGCACTCTCTTTAAAGACACTTTACCTTTCAGCTCCTGTGCAGTTTGAAATCTGTATCAAACCTGAGCCCTGCAGATGGCTGGTAAAGCTGTAGGGCCAGCTGCAGCATGGGGTCAAGGCTCTGAATCAAAACCACTGAAAAACTGTGTTGAAATTAGTCCTGCTCTTGGCAGCTGTTGGAGAATCTATACTAATTAGTCCTGCTCTTGGCAGTTGGAGAATATGTACTAATTTTTCCAGCTCAGCTTCAGCTTGTTCCTCTTCCAAGCCCCAGGAAGTAAAAAATGCATATTAGATGAACTCCTTGAAAATTCCAGATCCTGTATGCCTGACCTGATAAGTAAAAGATGTTGATGAAGTTCAGAAATGAGTAGTAGGGGAACTTTCAGCCAAGTGCCCAACATATATTTCTTTAGCACATGATGTCTTTAAGATCAGGCTAGGTCAGGACAATCAGACCACTGACTCAATGCAGAGAATTTTTCATTGTCAAGAAACTTCTGCTGGGAATGTAGTGCTGCTGCAAGTGGGAAGTGCTGGTAAGCCAAAGGATGTGCTTATCCACATATCTCTGCTCCTCTCCTTCATCCCTGCCCCTGAAGAAAGTGTCACAGGATCTATGTTTGGATCAATGGCAGAAGTCACCAAACAATCCTTTCAAATTATTCTGTTGACCAAATGAAGGCTTAGCTCCTCTAAAGACAGCAAAGCCAATATAATGTGGAATGCTGTAATTAATTCCACGTGTTTTGAGGCCTTAGGGTAGAGTGGAAGGACCAGAAGTGTACTAATAAATAAAGGCCATATCCTGGTATTGATCTGTATGTGGAACTCACTGCTGGAATCAATAGGGAGTGCTAAAAAAAATCAATGGCAGGATATGACCCCGAGATAAGCTGGTTTCAAATCATTCTGTCTCTCCACTACAAGAAGACAGGTTACTCTGTGTTATCTAAGCCCTCAAACATCCTCAAGAAGTTTGAGAAGGAGGAAAAAGCCACGTGGAAGGGAACTTCCAGGGAAAGATTTACGTGACAAAATCCTTGTGTGTTGTAAGGCCACGTTTATCTGTTGCTTTGCAATATCAACCCTAAATGTGCCAATGGGTGAAACATTTAGATGGTTTCTTGTAGTTAGGAGTGGGAATATCTCGGGGAAGAGTGAGTGGTTACTTTTCCTCTACTGGATACTAAAATGGCTGTTTTTTGCGGCTCATAAGTTATGTTTCCTGGCTCTATTTGCTTGTGTTAGATAAATACTGTGTAGCACCTCCTGAAGCAGCAGAGTGCAAACAGGGACCCCTCAGTCTTACAAACTTGATTTATTTTCTTGCAGAAACCAAAGTGAAGTGGTGGACATAGGATGCTTGGATACCTGTCTAATACAGCATCAAGACACAGCTGAAGTTTACACCCAGCCCTGTTTAACTAACTTTATGTTTCTCATTACCTGAATCAACAAATAGCTTTAAGATGGCTGCATGGATACTACTCTCATGAATTGTTTTCTATAATGTGAGTATTCAAAATTTTTTAAAAATTAATTTTATTTTTTGGGAGATAAGTCCTCAGGCAAATGTTTCTGGGAGAAAAAAATTCCTTTCTTTAACACCTCAAAATTTTTGTGTGTTCTTACTCTGATGAACATTGAGGCAATTTGGTATGACGAAGATCCATGTCAGCTAAAAAGAATATGGAGAAAATGGTAGATTTGAACCTGGAGGAAAAAAAAGAACAAAGAGCATTTACCCAAAGAGTTTCTCTCTTTGGAATAACTCTCTTTACTTGCCCTTGCTTATCTTCTGTCTTTTTTTGTTTGTTTTTTTAAATTGCATTAATGCATTTCATGCACGTGAAATGGTTCCCTTTGCCAGGTGGTATAAACCTGCACTCAGAGCCTTGTGAGCTGCTGGTTCCTAACACTGGAAGATGCAACCCAGCCAAAATCCCCTCTAGATGGCTCCCATGCTTCCATTGCATCACCAGTCTTTGCCCAGATCCTTGTCTGGCTCTTTTCCCTATTTGTGCTTTGTTCTCATTTAGAATTGCAAGCTGGAAAGTTCCTATTTCTTTTTATCCACGAAGGAGATCTATTTCAGTAATACAAGCTTTTGCATGCTGCCCCATTAGTGTCTCATCTTAATCCATGCCTTGAGGGTCCAAAGCCAGAGAGGGTAAAATAATCAAGTCTCCATGCAGATCTTGGACTCTTCTCAAACTGAGCCAAAAAGTGTACCAATTAAAACTGTGCCTTCATGACATTGCAAGCCAGCCCCTTGCAGAGAATGTGGATGAAAAAAAATGAAGGTTTATCATTTAGGTTTGAGAAACAGAATGATTTCCCCTCCAAAATGATCTGACTTGTGTCATTCACAATTTAGTCAGAACCTGGAATGCTACCTTCAGATTATGGAAGCTGGCAAAATTCATAACCTGGCAAAAGGGAAAATATTCACATAATTCCCTCGGCAAGAAACCAAATCAAACTATTCTTTTTAATTGCAGGTGAGTAATAGCACTCTTACATTTCATGCAAATAACGTCAGCACTCTCCTGCTCTGTGATTGATGGGATGTTTTAAGTGGAGTGCCTTAACTCAGCACAGCTGGTCTCTTGTTGGATTCCTCTCCTAGCCTAAGAAATTTTTGGGTTTGGATACGTTGGCAACAACTTTCCCTTCTAAGGCTGAAAAATACTCCTCAAGAGAGTAGATGTTGAATTGTCAGCTCTCTGCTTGGTCTGCATCCCTGCTAGTGAAAACCAGGGATTACTGTGAGTTTTGTTTGGTTGGCTTTTCTCACCAATTCATTTGGCCTTCAAGGTCTTGTTTGAGCTCCTGGATTGAGCTAATGGTCCTTCATGAGTAATGTGTCTGCAGCCTAAGTGCTTCCTTGCAGTGCTTTCAGAAGGAGTTTACCTTTTCCCTGGATTGCTGCCATTTTGTTGCTTCCCGTGGGTGTCCAGGGAAGGAAAACTGCTGTGTGTTTGAGAAAGGAGGAGGACTTTAAACCATTTCTATTAAGCTTCCAAAAAACCAGAATGTGAAGCAAAAAGTGGGATTCTTTGAGGATCTTGCCATGCCACCAGCTATGGAGTTCATTTAAAGTAGGCATATATCCATTTAATGTGTTAAATTCCTGGCATTAGAATCCTGTGGATTTATTCTCAGTCTCTGAGTAAAACCCACACAAGCTTTCAGAACCCTGGAGTACATAATAACAGGAAAATTGTGGCTCTGGTTAAACACCTCCCCAGGGAGGGCCTGGTAAATGTCCAGGGTGGTGATTAGGGAAGGTTAACTTATGATGTGACAAGGAAAGTAGTACAACTTAGATAACACTGATAAATGACAGTGGTGCCAAAAAATGATAGATTACTCTGAGGTGTTCTGTTAAAAAAAAAAAAAAAAATTAAACAAGCAGTTTTTAGAAGAATATCCTGAATCTATCTGTGCCCATGTATAGTTATTTACTATTCTAGCCTATCAAGTTGGATGTCTATGTGTGGAAAGCATATTACAGATAAATTATTTAATATGTAAGGAATCTCATCTGATGTGCCCCATGCTGGAGAGGACATTATACAAACTTCCAATTTTTGTGGTTGTCATAAGTGAGCACCCACAATGCCATTTATATTGTAATAATAGAAAGCATTTACTGAATGACTGAAATTTGCAAATTTGCAAGGGGAGAATAATTTTCTCTTTGCTCTTGTTGGTTTTATATTCCATACATTTTAATCCTTAGATTGTGGAGTTAGTAAATTGAATTGTGTGGATTTTTTTTGCCATAAACAAGGAAAGCCTTAAACTTCTAACATTAAAAAAAGCCTTTCTTTCCTCCCCAAGGATTAGCCATTTCCTTCTTGTTGATTTTCTTATGTTAGAATTTCCAGCATGATTTTCTTTCCTTCTGTTATAGCTACATGCATTATGATTCCTGTATTTTTGACAAATATATATTTTACACTTTATTCATCGTTATGCTGCCAGCTCCCAGTCTTGCACAGACTTTGACATACACTCTCCCTGCTATGCAGTGATCTGAGACAGATTGCAGAGGGAGAGCTCCTAATGAAAAGAACTAAGCAGCCCTTTACCATTTGGGATCTAAACAGCCCTGTCTTGCTCAGGGGTTGAATAATTGCTCAATATTCCGGGCTTCCTGTGATGGGCCCAGCCTGTCTGTCCAGAGCCAAGGGCTGCGGTGCTCCGACATCCGATCCGTCTCTGGGAAATCCTGCACTGTCTCTGCTCTGCTGGCTGCAAATGCTGGGGCTGCTCTCACAGCTCCGGCAGAGCCCTGCACCCACGCTCCCTGCAGAATCCAGCTGGGAAATCAGTCCAGCTGCTGTTTGTTTGGGTGTCACTCTGTCACCCTCCACCGTGTGGATGTGCTCTAGTGGGGTCTTTTAGGGGATTTGGTGGAGAGAAGGCAGCACAGTGAAAGGCAGAGACTCCTTGCTGATGCTTGGAGATCCTCTGTGTGTCTGTAAAAAGCTCTGTTTCCTCAGGTTGGGTCTTGAAGCCTGAAGCAGATGTTTTATTACACTTTTACTGACTCCAAGGAAAAATATCTCTCCACTTCAGCAGGAAGATGGGGCCTCCTGACACAAAAATCTTTGTTCCAAGCATTACATTGTGTATTTTATGGCACATAAAGAAAAAGCTACTCAGAATATTATTTAGGGAGATGCTCTCCCCATCTCTCTCACAATGGACCAACACTTGTCTGTACAGTGCTGTTTAAATCACACATCTATTATGAAATAATGCAGTAAAGTTAAAACCTGGGTGTTCACACCCAGAGCAAGCTGATGCTCACAGAGGGGTAGCACAGATGCCTGACACCATAGTGTGCAAGGAACCTTGTGTGACTGCAGGGTGTGTCCCTCACTCCTGTCCAGAAGTCAGGAGCTGGCTGCAGACATCATTCCAATGGAGAAGGTCTCCATGTTACATCAGCATGGGTATGGCTGCTTTCTTCCTGGCACAGGCTCTTATTGCTATTCCAACTCTTTTTTTTTCTGGCACAATGGTGAGCATTTCAGTGTGTTTACCATTTTAAAGGTGTTTTCAGTATTGCCAGGTGGTGCCTGACTGGGCTGTGGGAAAGCAGGGCTTTCCATGTGGGAGTTTTTCTGAGACAGCTCTCAAGATTTCCCCTCCTGCCCAAAATGAGCTGTGTTGCCTGTACAGGGAAGCAGTTCAAAACCAGCTGTCCTCTTGTCTCTGCTCTAGGAGGCGGATGAATAAAATACAAGAAGAAAAACGAAAACACCGTAAAATTTTGAAAAATCTGTGCTTTTTAGTCAGCTAAATATGAATGTATTTACCACTGAGATCATACAAAACTTGTTTGTTTTTACCAGCTTCATTTACAGAAGAAATGAACAGAGTTCCTTTACAAAAGGGTGCACATGTGAAAAGAAAAAAAAAAATCTTTGTAAACTTCTCAGGAAGAAGATGCCTTATCACTTTTGCTGCATGATAAGAGACTCACTAATCAAGAGCAAAACACAGAAAAAAGGATGTATCAAATTGCATTGGTTACCATAATGCCCTTGCATTCCCTTTAATTCATTTAATAAAAAAGGTGTTTGTAGTGTGTAATACATTTTTTTTTTCTGGCAGGAGTCAGAGCTGCAGTCACTCTCTATGCAGTGAACTGACTCCTACGTGGCTCAGGCAGTTAAAAATACCAAAATGACTTTCTTCCCTCCTGCTCCTCCAGGCTTTCTTCTTTGCAGATGGCAGAGGACAATATGCTGGGTCTGCAATAACAAAAAATTCCTTTCTAATTGTAAGATAACTTCCTAAAGATTGCAGGCAAAAGGAAGTCAGAGAACAAAGCAATGTCAAGTATGCACATGTCACAACACAATGTGCTGATTCCAAGCCTTTGGAAACATGCTGAAAGACATGTCTGGAAAAAAAAAAAACCCAAAAAAAACCAACAGGGAAGTTCTTCCACACGGGCTTTCAGCAGGAAAACAACAGCTGAATGTGCCCGTTCCCACCAGGAAAAAATACCCTGAAATAACAAAAGGTGCTGGAGAGCTAGAAATGAAATCATCAGATGGCAAGAACACTCTTTTGTCTGTTCTTACATAGATGTGCTGCCAGTGCATTGTAAAGCAGGGGATCAGTCTGGAGCAGTGTTTGACCGCAAGGTGCCAAGAAGACCAAGAAAAATGGAATGTATAAACAGGTCTCTCTTACAATGAAGGACTAACAGAACAAAACAGGAGGAAAGCAAACAAAGGGCCACACTTTCAGATAATGTATCTGCAGGAATGCAAACTCTGTGCATTCCTGATCACTCCTGTAGGTACCGAAGGCACAAAAGACAGACTCTTGAGAAGAATGGCATACACAGTGCTTCTTTGTGAAACAGAGCCTGCACACATTCCCTCCATAACCACAGGTAAAGCTTTGCATCATTGCTGTACTCTAAAGATATAAGTGCTTTCAATTAGCTCTGTCACTGTTGGCTTCCTCAGTCCAATTTTCT